AGCTGCAATATCTTTTCGCATTTTCACTGATCTCGTTCAGCGTAGGTTTGATCCATGTTAGCCTAGACACGAATGGAATGTAATCTGTTTATCCGAGTCACAGTGATCATAAACTGAATAAGGTCGTGTTTATGACGGTCGTAAATCGATTACGAGGTTTCAATGTAAACAACAGGCTAATTTGACCGAAGAGAGGTCTGTTTCTAGCTGATTGTCACCTCGGTGACCACCGAAATCGTCAAGCGACTTTGACGGGCCTTAAATCGCTCGCTGAGGCAGAACCGATCGTTCTGCAGAAACGAAGTGGCGCTCATAACGAGCAGACAGACGACGGCGATCGGATCGGATCGATTCGCACCGCAATCGCCATCAGCTGCTAAGAGTTCGATTTGACTAATTGTTAAATACGCCCCGGGAGAGGTGACCGACTTGCGAGGGCCGCTGAGACCGTAGCGGACCGCTGATCATTACCAAAATTGGATTTCCTTCTCGATGTAATCAAAATATGTTAATCAGAGGAGGATGCGTCTTCGACTTAGCGAAGCGAATCACTGCTCTTCCTCGTATTTCCGGTCGACGTCCGTCATTCGTCTTCGGAATCGATCAGTCGGCAACTTATTTCGAAAATTGCTCAGGGTACGGGAATCAGGACATGAAAGAAAATCAACGGCGAAATTTGGCTTCTTTTTTCTCTGCATCCGTGCAGCTAGTATGTCCTTAGAAAATCATCTTCATGGATTGTCCATAAACGCTTATTTAATAGACATTCATAAATTCTTCTCGAAGGAGCAGATCACCTGCTAGAACGGTTCGGTGTCACCCCGCATCACATTACCCATTATTTTGCGTCTCACCACCCGATGTTGCATGTAAAAAATGAATCGATAAATATTCATTTTCTTATTTCGGCAATAACGTACATTTTTTGAGAGGATGACTTTAACAAAAGTTGAACGCTGTTGCATTGCCTGGTGCATGAAAGAAAGCGGGTTGGCACAGGTCATGTGATTATATAAGCGAGAAGAAGGTGATGAAACGCGTAGGACATTTTTTAGTCTCTTCTATTGCAAGGAACCTTCAAATCACTGTAAAAGGTGTTCAATTACTGGTCCGGATGATCAAAATGCTCTTCATCTTCAAGTTCATCATCACGTGGGGGGGGGAGCTGTTTCAGAAGATCCTTTCAGTGGTCCCATAGCTGTAACTGGATTCCGATGGGCGGCAGTGTCAGGTTCTCAATACAAATTGAGCTCTCTGATTCGCGGTATATCCCTAGGTCGTCTTTGATGTGGCACTGCCAAGAGGTTTCGCCTTATGAGTTCTTCCTTTGGCGGCATCCTCATCACCCGGCCAACGCATTGCAGTTGTGATCTCTCGTCTTGGAGAAGGAGCGGCTTAGAGTAAAGAATAAGAAGTTGCGCCATTGCCATAATCCAAAGCCTGTGAGTTCGGCCACAACACCTATGCCGCATGCATCCAAAATCGCAGCATTCAGTTTCGGTCAATATCTAGCACGTGAGAGTAGGTGCGTCGAAAGTCTGTTCCGTACTACCGCTTAGATCCTTCATTATCATCACAGGTCGGATCATTGCCCGTGCCATAGCGCTCGCCTGCACGATGCGTCTGCTTATTTCTACACCCAGATTGCTGTCATTCGTTAATACTGCTTCGAGGATGCATATGCACCTGCAAAGTACAATAACAGGCTTTTCTCGAGGCTACAAAAGCCTCCATTTTGATGACGGTAACATTTTGCCTGTTCAACTGC